GGAGGGGGAGGGGAGGGGGAGGGGGAGGGGGAGGGGGGACGGTGCAATTTTAACGGGGGCACCTCCCGTAATATCCGCCGTATCACCTTTCTCCGTCATTTTATCGCGCTGCCACTTCAAAAGCAGCGCGGGCCGCGACCTTTATTGCCGAGCGCGCACGAAAATTCGGAGAACCTCCCGCGCCGCCTTCGGTTTATCTCCGAGCCCGCCCCGGCTCCTGTTAAAGCGCGGTAAATAACGTTTTACGCCTGTAACGGATGGAGTGATCGTCGGAGGACGAGACGAATCCCTAGGAAAAGCCTCGCTGCCGACTTGAAGGGAGCAGCAACCGCCCAAATTTTCACGATCGAGTTTCCCTTGATATTCGACTGATCATGAGAGTCCGAAGGGGAGGAAGGGGGGGGCATGAACGTCTGACCACCCCTAGAATTGAAAATAGATCGTATTCGATACATCAAACAGTGGAAAAAACAAGGAGGAAAAACGGGAAACAAGGCTAAAAATACACAATTAATAAAACCCGGGACGTTTCGACTCTGAACTGAGTCATTTTCAGTCGGAAACAATTAAAATTTAAAAAGAAACGATGAAAAACCTGAGCCCTACGTGGTGGTGGCCGGGATCTGAGAAAATCCATGTAGAAAATCCATCCAATGTGAGAAAATCCATCCACCACTATGTAGGGCTCAGGTTTTTTAAAAACATTTTTATTGTTTCCGACTGAAAATGACTCAGTGTTGAGTCGAAACGTCTCGGGTTTTATTAATTGTGTATTTTAAGCCTTCTTTCCCGTTTTTCCTCCTTGCTTTTTCCACTGTTATCATTGTCTCGGGCTGCTCTTAAAAAAATTGTACCTACATCAAACATGTGAGATTGTATCGATATCGATTGGTTCAACATGGAAACATAGCCTCAAAAGTCAATTTAGAAATCTGACGGAACAGGTTTTTCTTTATTGATTTTTTATTCTTATGAGAACTAAATGGCAATGAAAAGTGAGATTGTTACTCTCATTTTCAGCTTTTCCAACTTAAATCCTAAAATATTTGTTCGAGGTTATGTTATATTGTTTTGAACCAAACGATACATCGAACCACTATCGAATACGGTCCGTAGTGTCATCTGCACAAATGTTAGTGAGATGAGCCAGAAATAGCCGTTTTTCAATGCAATAGTATTTCAAAGTGTCAAGAAACTGCTTCTTGCAAAGCAAACAACGAGAGGATTGTAAGAAACAAATTGTACTGTTTTTTTCATAGAAAACTACTCTCTCTGGCGCACCATAGAAAAAAAATATCATAAATGCCATTAGTTTCACCATACATATTGGTAGGTGCTTAAATGAGCAAACCAGAGATATCAGCTCTGACTCTTGCCTTGCTTCATTCATAACTATGCTCGGATTATGGTTCGGTAGATCATAACTAGTACTAGTAGGTATGGCTCGAAACTATTCTGAAGCGAACATAGTTTGACCTGTGCCAGTGAAAATGTTTGCGAGTCAGTACGCAAGAAGATCTTCATCCCTATAAATGCATGTAAAATAGTCGGAATATATCGAGGGGACGGTTTCACCAAGAATCGACTATTTCTCATAGAATTAAATGGAGGAAAGACAGAGTTGCAAAGACACGAGAATGCGAATCCGACCTCTGTACCTGGCAAGTTAATTGCTATAATAATTAAACTATAAATGTTCAGTGTTAAAGTAGCAAGTCATGGACAGGAGATTCGAAAAGAGAGGGGGTGTGGGAGAGATGACAGCAAGTGATACACGACTGCTCCTCGCGGGTAGGCCATCCAACATGCATTAATAATACCCGAATTGCAAACGAGGCGCCTTCGAAGGGGCTAATGTGACCCTTGTGACGTTCATGGGAAGTTCATAACTACCGATCATCGATTTGTAAGGATCGTAGGTTCGAAAATGTTTTCAGCCTCACCTGTACAACTTTGGTGTCCTTTTCCAGATTTGTTTCGAGAGGCACCAGAAGATCGACGTAGAATGCTTTCAGCTGAAACAAAAAAGAAAGAAAAGTTAAAAACGAATATGAAAGCAGACCAAAACTGATCAAAAGGTTTCAACTACGTAACTAAAATAAGCGAATTCAGTTTTCATCTTGTGCTCGAGCGCCTTAGATGGCGCTTGGAGAGGAGTCAAAAGAGTAAATTGAGCTTCGAAAAGGGCGGAGGAAGTTGAAGCAACCCTCGAGTTTTAATCGATGAAACAATGATAATTTCTTAATCAAAAAGACGGCAATTTCCATTAACGCGCGGCTGAGCTGTAGCATCGCCTTCAGCGCTGTGCCCTCCGTCGCGCGTCGTCGCCCCTTCATTTAGCGTTTCTGCAACCCGCGTGACTAACTACACCAATAGCCTTTCTCCGCGCTGCTGTCTGTTCTACTGCCTAGTGTGAGATGGAACTTCCTAGTATTCTAGAAAACTTGAAGGCTGCTAAGCCACGTCATATTTCAAATATATTATCATGAGTTAAGGACTTAAGAGAATTGTCCAGAACTTTTGGTATGTTGATACCATGGTCCATTCGCGCATTCTGCCTCATTCAGGTGTTAGTGTACAAGATTTAATTTGAGGGCGAGATTATTAGTGTTTTTTTGATGTATTAAGGAAGAGTTTTACTTACAATGTTCATTTGTTGTGATTGGACTTCTTTGTACACCTCGACAATTTGCATCAAAGCAGAACCTGCAACAAACAGATACAGAAATTAAAAATCTAGAACGTAGTAAAAACAACTGTCGCAGAGGATACTCCATTATCGTCGGGTTCGAGAAAGCAACTCTTCGAGTATATTAGTTTTTCCCATTGTTATCATGGGGATATTTCGGGACCACCTTGCCCCACAAGTGACAACAATGGCTCGACAAGATAATTGTTCGCTTAGTAAAAAGAATAAATACAACTCTGGAAAAATTTGTATGGTGCATGAATTAAGGGATGGGTTATGAGAGGCGTCTAGCAACGATGATGAGGACAAATTATACGAGAGTAAGAGCCTCCGCTAGTCTCTTATTAAAAAAGATTCAATATAAAATCCCGGAGCTTGCATTCATTAAAAAAAAGCAAAACTTTTCCTCCGCATCCGAGAGTTGAGACAAACCTAATTTCTCCATTAAATCTCAACATCGGGCGATGCCCGTCTCTTCATTGACTAATTGCTTGCCCTCTGCTCTCGGTCTGCAGTACCAGAAGAAATATTGTAGATGAATTTCTTATTTTCCATTGCTTTCTTTAATTTGAACAAATTTGAACAGTAAGAAAAAGGTTGCTTATTTTCATTTTATTGAGGTTCATTTTTTTGCGTGGATCTCGCTGAAAGAAATGTCATTAATATCCAAGCAAATGTCTCGAGAGGAGGATTTTCTTGATCTCGTTTTTGTAGATATTATGGCACGAAGTTAATCTTGCGCCCAGTCTCCAAATGAGGTTGCATCAGATATTATGCGATTCACAAAATTTTAGTTCATTGTCCAATGGCAGAGAGAACAGAAATCTTCTCTATAATGCATTTATGACACGACACGTTTTCCTCGGATCTCGGCCACTAACGTGTGGATCTCAGGTTTTTTTCTTCGATATTTTTTAATTTTTAATTTATATTTTGACTGAAAATGACTCAGTTATGAGCCGAAACGTCTAGGGTTTTTAGTGATGATTTTTAGCCTTGTTTCCCGTTTCCCCCTTTGTTATCATTGTATCGGGTTGCTTCGTAAAAATTTGTGTATATAATACAATTACTAAAGTTAAGTAGACTTTGTTCGGTCTTTAACTGAGACAAGACTCAGTTTTAAGAGGACCTTGATACGTCGTTGGTTTAGCTGCGGGAGAACAGAATCATAGTGGGTAGAATCAGATTCGAATATATCCACATTTCTTCGATCATTTTTTGAACGAGGTGGTGTGGCATGATGAGGATCATCACTTAGGTTCAAGGTCCCCACTCCAAAAAAAGGGATGCGACGTAGTAGTGGTTCCTACAGAAAGTACCGTTCTTATGGAAAAAAATAAAATAAAAAAAAAATACACTTGGTTCATCTTGGAGAAAGGGTTAAAAAATTCTACGTCGAACTGCAGAGACAACTGTCTTTTCTCTTCAGATGTAATCCTTTCATGGGTTTTTTAGACTGCTCAATGCACCATTCTCACCATACGGAGTACTTTAACTACATATTGCAGTGAGAGATACTAACCCTGCGTGATACAATTAAGTACCTATGTGTATAGGTAAACTAATGGCACGTGCGTTGTTGCTAAAACGAGTCAGAAATAGTGGCTCCTCGTTGAAAAATGTAATCTAATTGTCCGTGTCCATCCCTACGCACATCACCACTCATAACTCAGGAATTATGAGTTTCCTCTTTTAATACAAAACCCTCCCGAAACTTCCGTGTTGAAATGAGTTATGCAGAAATGTCTTTTCCGGAAGTGCTGCAGCGTACACCTTTTTTGATTATTGACGGAAACGTCGATACAGAATCGACCGGAAATTCCCGGAAGTTGAATTGAAATGCCGCATGCGGAAGAGCCGTCAGTGCCTTGATGCACGATTTTCATCTTAAGTTGACGATTTGCATTTTGATCTGTTAAGATAGATTACCTTCCGGCCGACAGCAGGATTTTTACGTATTTAAGCGTTAAAAGGAACTATATGCACAAATGAATTAAATCAGAGGGGACTAAGTGATCTAGAATTTGCGCCTATCATAGCTGTTATTGATTTGATTTATTTTACAATAGTTCCTTTCAAAATAAATAGTCCATTAGATTGTTTTCGTTATAAAATATAAGCCGGATTGGTTTCTACCATCAACCAAAAAGTAACATTTCAGAGCTATGTGCATTGCTACATCGCCTTCAACAGGATCTACTGCGATACGAGCTTTCATCGAACTTCAAAAAGTTCAGTAATCGCTAAATTAATAATAAGGCTCTGAGATAAAAATTGATCAAAATCATCAGATTAGAGATTTACAAGTACAACCTCGAGGCAACACTTACGGACAACACAAACCACCCAAATCCTCGAATATGTATCTATCAGAGGGTGGAGGATGCATTTTGGTCTACTTTTAAAATCGAAGGCGTAATATAAGCTTACCCCTTTCGTGTTTAATATGTCGTCTCTAAATCTTTTATCAGAGACTGACTCAACACCGAAAAAATGAAAAATCAAAATAAACTTGCTGAAATTTTGCAAAAGATGGCAGCATTGCAAAACACTGACCACCGCTCGGTAAACATGTTATACTGACTTACAACACCCCCGCAGACGTCAGATGAACGGGGAAGGGGAAGGATCATTTTCATTCCCGAAGGGCAACGCGCGTCCAAGGGTGAAATTACAAACCACTACCCACCCGCCTCCGTCGGCCTAGTCGTGATAGCCTCTTTAATTGGCATCCTCGAACCAACGCGACAGTCTCTGAAATTATTGTACCTAATCGCGTTGCGGTAATATTCATTCCTATATTGTTTATTCTTCATGTATAATTACCGTGAATACTTTTAGAAAAATCATACTTCGACAGCTGTAAAATGGATGGCACTATGCAAACGAGACATATTTACATAAAACACGGTGTCCACTAACATTTTCTACTAACATTAAAAAATAGCACCCTCCCCCCCGACTCTCGAAGTTAGGAGAGCTGTGGCCGAGCCTCGTTTTTCACCTTTTCTTCCGAATCTACACGACAGTTCATTGGCAGCATAGAGCGAAGCATTGAGAGTTCACGCCTCGCGCTAAGCGCCTTCAATTTGGCAGATGCAACACGGACATCCATCAAGCACGAATAGTTGTATGTCTGCGCCGTCATCAACGCGCGTGTTTTCTTCTGCTCCATCTCCTCATAGTGATTGCTTCCGTTTGTCTCATCTGTAGTAGTGCCTCGAGGGCTACGTGAACAAAACAGCTACAGATAGGATCGTGCCTTATTTTGTAACTTTTCTCCCGAATCTGAACGACACCCGACACCTTACTAGCAGCATAGATGAAGAATTCTGAGTTTACGCCTCACGATATCGCGCCTTCAATTTGCAAGATACAACAAGGACATCCATTAACCACGAATATTTGTATCTCTGCACCTTTATCAATCCTTCTCCTTGCCCTACTTCAATCATTTTTATGGGGGCGGTTTGACCCGACTTGGGACTTTGCGTAAAAATGTCTTGGGCATCTAAGGGTTAATATAATTCAGGTACTTGGAAGACGAGATGTACAAGTGCAGTTTAAGTGCAAGATAGGAAGTTAAATTGGACCTCATTTTGCAATAAGGAAGTACAATTTCTGTTCCAGTTTAGGGACGACGTTTGCACATTAGTTTCCGAATGAACGTATGTGTTTTTACGAATGACCCAGAAATCGTAGTTCCTTCTTGCAAAATAAAGTTCAATAAATCTTTTAAATGGATATTCTTTCTTTTTTTAAAAAAAAAAACAACAACAACAACAAAAACAAAAAAAAACCCGAGGTCCTAGTCATAGGTGGGAAAAAGAAGAAAATAATAGTGCACATTTGACTTCAAAAATTTCGAGGGAAATTGGGAAAAACCGTGAAAAAGACCAGAAGACTGATCAGCACAGCCTGTTTTCTCCCGGGTAAAAAGTTATGCGTCTCTGTCGAGGCGCCCTGTCTCCTTTAAAAAGTAAGAAATCTTAAGTTCACTGCCGAGATTACTAACGATACCATACCGCCCCCTCTTGTCAGACGAGGCGAGAAGTTTCCTGATATATCGTTTTCTTTTTTCAATTAAGTAAGCCTCCCCTCATTGTCAACGAGGTATCGACATTTTCCTCTTTCCTGGGACGCTTAAGTTAAGTATACACATCTTTATCCCGACTCCTTCTCGCTCCGTATCTGCCCTCCCCCTTTCTCTCCTTCCCTCCCTATCCTTCCATCCTTCCATCCCTAGCTCCCTCCCTCCCTCCCTCCCTCCCTCCCTCCCTTCCTCACCTCTTCACCCTTGGTTTTCATACTTGTATTCAATGCCACAAAAGACAAACAAAAAAGATGGGAGTGAGATTTTTATGGAAGACGAGGAAATGACTATCAGATAACTAGTACCATGGAATATGGCACGTCTAAAATGCACAAAACCTAGCAACATTGGAATACTCTGGGTTCTTTTTTGCAAAATGCAATCCATATGCTTTACGGGAGCCCTGCATGATTTGTACTCACACGAGGGAACACGATTCCATTCCGCGGCTACAAAACTGACTCAACAATTCCATTTTTCACCAGAGTATGATCGCGCAATTTTTTTCAAAAAAATTCTACGATTTTTGAATGTAATCAGAGATTTTAGTTAGAACGAAAAAATAAAGATAAATCGCGTGTAAAATCTTGCAAAGTTAATATGCGAACACGTTCTTTTCGTCTCGGATACGACGAATTGTGTGTATGCATGGAAAAAGGAAAACGAAAGTCAAGTCGTATGTTCAGGGTTCTTACTTTTTACGCGACGCGATGTGCGCACTGGTGGTGGAGAGAGTGGGAGGTGGGAGGTGAGTAAGCAGTGAAAATCTCTGCTATTAAGGGAATCATCCCTCCTTCTCTCCTGATGTTGTACACTGTTATCCAAGCTCAAAGTGGAATAATCACTCCCAACTGGCTCATAGCTGGGAGCTGGCTCCATCCCATATGCACCAGCGACAAGCAGTGAATCGGTCTTTATATGTAT